AGAGGAAGGATTACTACAATTTGATGACTATGTGGAACAGAGAGGGTGAATGGATGGTGATAATGAATGATATGAAGAAGAGTATAAAAGAAAGATGATTGCCATGCTTTCAAAAAGGCAAAAAAAATCAAATTATCTTCTCATATTCTAAGTGCCCAGCCCAGTTTCTTCAATCTGGGAAGGAGGACCAAGTTCATACAGCCTGCACCCCTGTACCCAGAACCTAGCACGGGTCCCCGTATATGAGAGGCACACAATATCTGTTGATAATGGATGATGAAGATGACATGATTGTGAATACACACTGAACCTCAAGGTCAGGTCAAGTCAAGAAACGTGACAGTTCCTCTGTCCACAGTTTCTATGCCTGGTGAGAATCACACTAAAACAGAAAGCCTCCTTTATCTTTGTCTGCAGAAATGAGGCAGGTGTAACTACCACATTCTTCATATTAAAGGAGTCAAGACCATTTTGTACCTTCACTTTGTTACACACAGTAATGCTAAGGTTTGTCAACAACTTTCCTGGACCAGAGTTACAGACAGAGTGATGGGAAATTTACAAGACACCTCAGAAGCAGTCAATATCCTGATGGAAACAAGTGACCAAAAGCTACTTGGGATCACTGAAAGAGAAGGGTCATCTCATATGAGCAGATTTCTGGAAGGAAAGAGAAGACACATTCATGGAAGTCACTGAAAAGTGTCTAATAAAGGGATCAGTCATAGCAGCATGGACAGCATTCAGGGAACGCTTATATGATGGTGAAGCTCCCAGGGATGAGGAAGACCAGAAAGCTGTCATCCCACTTAAACCTGAAAAGGCAAGGGAAGAGTTGTTGTTGGGAGCCTGAGAGAGCTGCAGCCTTGGAAGAAGGGCCACCGGAGAAAAATGGTGGCCAAAAATAGAGGATTCCCAGCCTTTCTCTCCTCCTGTCCTCCAATCTCTTGCCAGTGCTCCCCACTGGCCTATTCTAACTGAGCCAAGTGAAAGCCAGAGGGCCAGGGATTCTAGATGATTCACTCAGCCCACAGCCCATGGCGAGAGGAGGGCCAAGAAAAGGGAAAGAACGGATCCTCAGGGGCCAGTGGGAAATTCTACCTTCCAAATTCATTCTTCAGCCCAGGTGCGTAATCTGTAAGCCTGCAGGAAAAATGAAAGCACAGGCATAACCTACGTCCAGATGATGAAGAATCAACTGAAAAGGGAAATCAATGAATAGGGATAAAAGTAAAAACATAATTCCTTACAGCAGACAAACACTACAAAAATAGCTGGCAATTGAGTGGGACTGACCCACATCATTCATTGAAGAAAACCGGTCTTCCCCATCCTTTTCTTGTTTTTTTTTTTTTTTCCCTTCTAAAATAGAGAATTCTTCCCACATTCTGGCACTGAGGCTTTAAAATGGAAAACTATTTTAAATCAGCAGTTCTCATCTGGGAGTGTTTTTGTCCCTACAGCGACCTCCCACATCTGGGGCACATTCAGCAATTCTAGAGACATTTTTCGTTGTCACAGCTTGGGGACAGGAGTGGTCCACTACTTTTATGTCAAGAGTAAGAGACCTGGGATGCTGTTAAGCATCCTACACAGCACAGGACAATCCCCCAAAACAAAGTTATCTGGCTCAAAATGTCAATAATGTTGAGAAACCTTGTTTTAAAAGCAAGCATTCTAGTTGAATTAAGAAAGCAAGAATGTGAAAAAAAAAGAGGATAAAAAATTCAGAGATTTGGTACACCAAACCAAATAATTTTTAAAAAATTGACATTTTAGCCCTCTAACAGAAAATATGTCTTCTCTGAGGTAATTTTTCTTCTGCAATATGAACTCAAAGTAGGCTCTGAAATGAAAGTGACTTTCTTAAAATGTTCAGATGACTGCTTTGAAGCCAGGTTTTAGTCTGTCAGATTGCTCACTGATTGAGTAATTTTAGTCATACATGAGAATACATGTAAAAACAAAAACAAAAAACCAACCAACCAAACCAAAACCAAAATCATAACTAAAAAAAAGGTCAACAGCTAAGCCGGAGATCCTAACCACTTTGCTCAAGATACACGTATAGACAGTGTTGAAATGTTCAAGGAAAGAGAAAAGAGAACAGACATATTTGGATAAACTGCCCTTTGGGGTCACTTCTAAACCTGAGGTTGCCAACAGGTAAAGAACTAAGTAGAAAGGGTCTGATTTCCTTATAGGAAAAGCAAAGGTCTTTAGGATATCTGTAGGCAATGATTAAGATGTAAATAAACTATTAGCTGTCACAAGATTGCCAACCTCAAAAGTAAGCAACAAGCCAGTCCCACACCTGCTTACTCCCTTTTCAATCAATTTCTTGTCTACCAGCAACATACCCCTGAGCTGGCCAAGGGGACTGACACTGAGCCAATCGGATTCTCTTCTGCTCAGAATCTCCTGTTAAATGCTGAAGCTGTGTTTTGCATCTTAGAAGAAAGAGTAAGTTGATGATTATTGACTTTGCTAAGTGGCCTCATACACAACAGGGAAGATGGCAGCTTTGTCTTTAAAATTGATGACAAATCACTAAAATCATTCATGGCAATAAGGAGGTGACAGAAGAGTGGCTGAAAAGGTATTCTGCTTACTTGAGTCAATTATTTATAAGAGGCTATCTCTCCCTTATAATCAAGAGGCTAAAATGTTCTATTTCTTAGCATCAATGGAAACAGAAAGGATGGAACCAAACACTGTATTAGTTTCCCGTCTTTGGAATGTCAAAGAAAGGAGCGCTGCTACTTAACAGCTTTAGAAGTACCAAAAGAATCTCCAATAATGTGATAAAAATAATTTGGTTAAAGTGGCCACGCAGTTCCTCAACTGGTGGGCAGTGTCATGAAGCCGGAGAAGTTGTCCATTAGCACAAACATTAGACTTGTACTGAGCACCCAGGCATTAAAAGATACCAAGCTTAACTCACCCTCGTCCTCTAGGAGTTCTACGTGTAGCAGATGGAAAAGCAGGTCAACAATGAACATACCATGGGGGATAGTGTGTGTAAAAGCTATGCGATCACCAGCTCCGCCCAGCGTAGTTAGTGTGAGGATGAGAAAAATATCACTGATCAAGGTGCACCATTCTAGATCTTGTGAAAGGGAAAAGGCAGGTTAAGCAGAAGGAACAGCATGAACAGACTCACGAGGCAAGGAAGTCCACAGCATGACTGGGGAATGGCCAGTGGGCCAGTGCCCCTGGAACAAGGGTGGCTGTAAGCGGAAAGGAAACTGGGAGAGAGTTTGGATACAGTTGCAATGTATTAAACACTGACAAAGGATTGGACAGGAGATTACAGAATATAAACTTGTCCTTGGAGAAGCAAATGGCCCCTTGAAGTTATTTCAGTTCAGTTCCTCATATAATTATTCCCACTACTACCATAAGTACTCTAAATAATACCACGGCCACAAATGTCACCATTTTCGACCACTTACTACATTTTGGTTTCTCAGTTTCAGAGAAACCAAACATTGTTCAGAGATATTCATTGCATCATTTGGTCTTCAAAAGAACTCTATCATGTCCGTATCACTATATCCATTTAAGAGATCAGAAAATTCCACCGCTGAATTATTTTTATACAGGGGACAGTTGAAACAATGGAGTGAACCTGAAACTCATTTTCCGGTAGTCTCTCCCCATGGCAATCAGCACCCAAAGGCATCCAGTCCCGAAGGCTCCTTTACCTGAGCATAGTTATACCCTCAAAGACAGCGTCGGCAGTGGAAAGCTAGAAATGTAAGGGAAAGAGAAGGACTGATTGACATCAAGGTCATCGAAGAGGCAGAATGTGGTCCAAAACTTTGGGCAGGAAAAGAGAGATTTTCCATGAAGATGGAGAGACAGAGGGCAACTGCAAAAAAGCCCGTACCTTTGAAGGTGCAGAGGAGAGAAGCTGAGGGGGTTCACCTGGACTTTTTTCTGCCACATTGGGTGTCTTTCTGCTAAGTAGGTGAGATAGTGAATTTTACCTATCAACTTGACTGGGCTCAGGGATTCCCAGATTGTTGGTCAGTCATTTCCGAGTGTGTCTGTGAGGGTGTTTCTGGAAGCGATTAGTATTTGAATCACAGACTGAGTAAAGATGGCTTCCCCAGTGTTCATCGGCATTGTCCAATCCATCGAGGGCTGAATAGAGCAAACAGGCCAAGGAAGGGCCAATGCGCTCTCTGTGGGGGCTGGGACACCCGGCCTCTCCTGCCCTCCTCCATCAGTGCTCCTGGTTCTCAGGCCTTAGGGCTCTGTCAGGGACTTAGACCGCTGATCCTGCCCCAACACACACCAATATGGGGGCCTTTGGACTCAGACTGGGACTTCTCTTGTTGGTTCCCCTGGTTCTTAGGCTTCAAACTGGGACCAAATGACACCATCAGCTCCCCTGGGTCTCCAGCTTGCAGATGGCAGACTGTGGGTCTTCTTGGCTTCCATATCACATGAGCCAATTCTTATCATCTGTCTCTGTTTCTCTGGAGGGTACAGTGCACTTCAGATGGGGCAGAGGCTTGAGCCAAGTGGCCTAGGTTTAGGACATCGGCTGGGGAGATGAAAGGGGGAGACAATAGGATAAATTAAGGACCCGATGACTTTAGCGGCAAGGCTCTGTGTCCAGGAAAGTGAGTATCTACTTACTTTCCAGTGTAAAGAACCAATAGATGAAATTCTTCTCTTATTACGTCCCAGAGTATAAATAATACAAAAATTATGACATGACCAATGATGATACTTTTTCTAAAAAGTGACCTTACAAAGGTCAAAAGTTCAGAGATAACTGAGGATGCATGATAAAAACAACTCCTCATGCTTAGTGATAAAAAGTACATCTTAAAAGTGGAGCTGTGGCATGAACAATAAGGTCCTACTGTGAAGCATGGGGAACTATGTTCAATACCTATAATAGCCTATCACAAAAAAGAAGATGAAATGCAATATATATATATATATAACTGATTCACTATGCTGTACACCAGAAACTAACACAACACTGGAAACTGACTATATGTCAATTAAAAAAAATAGTGGAGCTGTATCAAAGATCGTGGCCATAAAGACAGACCAAGTTTCATGGAATTCTGCCTGTTTTCTGTTTTTTGAATATGTAAGCATATTCAAAAAGCCCATGATATAACATTTGGTTTAAAGAGAAAGATTTTCTATGTTAAAAAGCCTCTAACTCACATCCGTTCATTCACTTATCCTGTGGCTTCACAACCCCTCAGGAAAAGGAAGACTGTCATTCTGCTTCAGTAAGCAGACTGTATCACATCTTGCGGCAAGGGAATTATACACTCTGCTCGACTTGTGCTTATGAACGATATTCGTGCTCAAACATTTTATCTTTTTGTGCATTTCCTCCCCCACACAGGTAGTTCCCAAGGAGCTGGGCAAAGCCTTCTTTGAAAGAGGATGATTCCTGGCCCACTGAAAAAGACCATGCAAAGGTTGGCCTGTCATTTCACTCACCTTCCCTCCTCCTACCCATCACAGCAGCATCTCAGTTGTAAGTGAAAAATGTGGTGGTTAAAATGACCGCTTCAACGGTCTTAGAAGTTGCTCATTGGGGCAGTACATACATAGTACTTAAGGAACATAATCTCTGGAGTTAGAAGATCTGGGCTCAAATCCCAGCTCCACAATTTACTAGCAAGTTGAACTTGGGCACGTAAATTCCAATTCACGTTCCAAGTCTCCATTTTCTTATCTCAAAATTGGGAGCAAATCATAAGATCAAATTGACAATACCGTTGGGAGGATGACAAAAACAACGCACAAAAAGCTTCAGCATGACACAGGGCTGCATAATGTGGCGCTGAATAAAACCAATTCAGTGCTTCCTCTTGCTTTTGTTTCAAAGGGAAAAGTAACTTGTCCTTTGTCTTTCCAAGCCCCATCATAAGCATGGAAACCCTTTCAAAATGGACTGCTATGGTTAAGAACTCGAGCTCTGGACTCTGCTCACGTTTGAGTCCCTGCTCTGCTACTTACCAGCTGTGTCCTCAGGCAAGTTACCTTTCTAAGCCTCAGCTTCCTCATCTGAAAAATGAGACTTACATGAAACCATGTATGTAAAGCACAGCGACTGGCGTACAGGATACACTACAAATACAGGCAATTGAGACTATTGTTGGGAAGGCTCACTCTTAGCTCATGAAGATAAGATGACATTTTTCAGAGGTAGTCCAACAAAAATTGAATCTGGCGTTTCCCACCAAAAGTGTCCAAAGCTCTGCAGTATACTTGGTTCCGTGGTGGCAGCCAAAGTCACATGAGGACAGTCAATTGCTTGGCCTCTTCAGTAGGGAGTTTCTAACTCCTTGGGCAATGAAGACAGTTTGGTTACACTGGGCCAACTGGGGAGGGCTTCTAGAAAATCTGACCCACAACGATGGTTCTCATCGTGTGGGCAAGGGCACTTACAGAAGTAGCATCTGACAAAAAGCTTTTCTTGGTTGAAAAGCAGTATATCCTTCCAGTCCCTGTCAGTTCAGTTTTCTGATTTATAAATACCCTTTCTAGACACCTGTCCTTTCTTAAATATTTGGCTGTGCCTTTTCCCATAGGACCTTCGTATTATAGCTCTTCAGCGTTTCAGGATGATTTGCCCAAAGTTTTAGGTACTCTTGGGAATGAGTCTGCTATTTCTGAAAACCTCTTCTCTCTTTTAGGCTAAATGAATACCATTAGACAACGTATGTCTACAATGCATTAATGGTACCCAGGTGGTCTCAAAGTTGGCGCATTCCTTAAATGCCTAATTCATTTCTTGACAAGTCATTTACAGTGTTCAAACAGAATCTATCCAAAACAAAACTAAAGAATGGTGCCTTTCCACAGAATACAAAACAGAAAAACACAGGTCTTAAGCACAAATTTGTCAAGCGGTAAAAGGAAAGATGTGAATGGTGATGTTTCACAAAGTATTCTAGTCATGAAAGCCTCATGATGATCTGCCAACTATGCAGAAACAAACAAACAAAATTAGATCCAAAGCATGCCGTGACAGGAAGGAATCAAACCACATAGCCCAAGGCAGCTATCACTTACTTTATCTAATAAAGTGGTTTGATCTTGGAAAGATGTGTATAAATCAATGCTTATTTAAACATACTTTCAAAGGCTCTTACAAAGCAGTCTTGCAGGGGATCCATTAGTAAAATGAATAATTACTCCCACTTACCTCTTTTATAAATTCAAATGCTTAAATAGTGATACTTAAAGTGGGTTTTACTTACGACCCAAGAGACCCTAGCTCCATAGCTATGTGCCTTAAGCAACTTTTATCCCAAGATAGGCATTATGGCCCTAAACTGGTGCACTGGTAATGTTAATACACAGTAAACTGAAAGACAAGCCATAAAGCTTTTGACACACGGATGGATTGTGGCATGGGGTGCACACAGGCACACAGCCTCCTCTACATGAGATTACACTCCCTGATGACTGGCTGCATTTTAAACTTCAACTGATATTAAAGGAAAAGCCTGCTGACTACCAGAGCATGTCGTGATTCTGTAAGATAGAAAATGGCATTGAACACCAATCACTTGGAAACTTCTAGGGAATAGACAGGCACGTTTTATGGTCCTGGTGGCCTGATGCCAGTAACTGCAACTTCATAGCCCCTGTCTTTCAAAGGACTCCCCTGAAGTGGAAAGAGAGTGGGAGAGCGGTAAGAGTCACTGATATAAGAATGAAGACAGCAAGAACAGAAGAGCGTTTATTGTGGGGAGGTTCTTTGTAACTGCAAAACAACAACAACAACAACAACAACAACAAACAAACAAACAAATGACAAAGACCCCACAACTTCATATGCATAAAAGAAGAACGCCATAGGGCTCTTCAGAGTCTGTAACATCCTACTGCGCGGTGCCAATCTCCAGGTCAGGGATGTGACAAGCAGCTGTTTACCGAACAGTTTTCACTCTCAGGACCTTTCCTAAGGGAGCATTTCATTCGGGTAACGGATTTGGCAATGCCGCCCTAAAGACCATTTTAACAACAATAAGAATAACTAGCATTGATTAAGTGCCGGGTGCAGAATATGTGAAACTCAGGTACCAGCCTGGAAGCCCCATGCCAGGTGGGTCCCAATACGTAGCTTGGGACAGTGGCCCACTGACAGCTGGCAATGGCTGGACTGGCTTTGGGGCGGCCTGATGAATTACAAGCAGCAGCCTGAGCTGCACCCTCATCACCACGAACAGCGATCAGAACCATTCACCTTCACTGGTCACTTGCTATGTTTCAGGCACTACGGCCCATCAGTCCTCAAGGCAGCCCTGGAAATCTGGATCCTATTATATCACCCAGCGAGTGTCAGAGGCGGGATTGAAATCTGGGTTTGTTGGACATGAGTTCTGTGTTCTTTCTATTCCACTAGCTGTCTCTCATGAACGCACTGCTGAAGATAAAATTCTGAAGGACCTGTACGGTATCATGTATAGCACTTTATGTTACAGCTAACTGCACCCAGCTTCTAGAAGGCACTAGGAGAAAATGATATATATGAATGGATTCTCCCAGCTCGGGATTAAAAATAGAGAAAAATACAATCAGCAGCGCCAATGTTTTTAACCAGAAGTAACCTACAAGCAAATTCAATGTGAGGCTAATTGCCCTGATAAAGGAATGAATCTATTGTTCACTCTGCATTTTAACATTTCCATTAAGGTAAAACAACACTCAAGAGACAGACGTTATTGAGCAACATGCTCTGTGACAGCCTCTTACTAGTAAGACAAACATGCCCCTAACAGCGATGTGCAACATACAGTATTTCCCAATTCTGAGAAGTGTTCTTTTGTGCGTTAAGAGGTAACCAGGGGCTCTGTTTCCTTGATGTGTCACCAAGCCTCGTTTCTAGAACAGCAGTGCTGCAGTCTTCAATTGACACGCTTGTGCTGGGCACCCACTGTGTGCAAGGAAGAAGACAGGGGTCCTGCCCTCCACGGGCAGACAAAAACCCTCTCATCTTAGGCAGGCAGTGAGTGACAAGACCTGAAACAGAGGGCCTTAGCAAAGTGGTCTGAGTGCTTTGAAATCGAAAGGAAGGGACAGATTCCAAAAATGTCTCAGGGTGGGAGTGGTGGGCATGAAGATCTAGGAAGGCAAGGGCTGAGGCTGGATTTGAGCAAGGCTTTGAAGAGTCTGGAACTTGACCAACTTCAAACTTACAGGGATGAGCTGTGTTGTCCACAATAAAAGAAAAGTGAACACCCCCAATTTGAAAACAAAAAATTGCAGGGGTGGGTGGGTATAGCTCAGTGGTAGAGTACCTGCTTGCCATGTACGAGGTCTGGGGTTCAATCTCCAGTCCCTCCATTAAATAAATAAAAAAAAACCTAATTACTTGCCCCCCTCCAGAAATAAATAAAAAAGGAGAAGAAGTAGCAGCTAGGAAGTTTCCCAGAGGCTCTGAATCTACACTTCAAGGGCAAATAATATAAAACAAAACAATATAAAATAAAATTTTTAAAAGTTCTGTAATGAAGATACTCAATAAACCAGGTTTTCCAGCTACCATTTTTATAGTGAACGAGAGATTTACCAAGGCAGTGTTTTATGTGTCTATTATAGCTATCACACTAGAAGTTATTTTGTAAACAGAGAATATAAATGGAAATTCAGTCACATCTTAAGCAACAGTTCAAGTCACCAACCTAGGTGACACCTCAGATGGAGGAGCCGATCCATCCAAAGACTGGTTCAGACCACTTGAGAGCACAAAATTCACATCAAAGTGTGTTTTTAACACCTGCTAGACTCCCTAACCCGGCCTCAACTGAACTCTCTGAGCCTCAGTTAACCTTGTGTATGAAATTGGGATAAAAGACCTACATTACTGGATTTAAGTAGACATTAGAGAAACTTGACATGTTTTTGGCCTAAACTGGGCCTTCAAAGAAATGGTGACTGTGGTTGTTGGTTGTTCCCTGACCAATGCCAGACGCTATGGACAAGGGGCGAGGAGAGATGAGACGGAGACCCTGCTTGAGGCGATACTCCACAAGGTTCTCCCACTTTTGTTCACACTGGGCGTATCACTCTGCTTTCCTAACCATTCATTCAACTTCTCGGTCCCCTAAACCAAGAGCATTCGGAAGAGGTGGAGGAGTATTAGAGCCGCCGTGGTGCTGATTCTGTGAACAACAGGCTGCCACCTAAAAGAACACTGGGTACTTTGGGAAACTCTGCCCTTTTTCATTAGATGAATAAATATCCCACTATTGTATCTAACACTCACCCAGGGATAGTTTATATTCTGGGAGGATGTGGGTGGTTCCTTCAACTTCCCACAGACATAGGTAAACATGGGAGTAGATGGATGATAAAATTTGATGTGCACAGCAAGTCCCCTACCTCCATGTGCATCTCCACAGGGGGAACCGGAATGCAACAATGGGTCTCAAAATAAAAAAGGTAAAGGTAAGTGAAAGTATACCTGGCACCTTTCAGAATCGGGTCTCCCCTGTGCCTGATCCTCACCATGTGTCTGTGAGAGAAGGAAGGGGGCATGGAGGCCAGGACAGCCCCAAGATGAGAGCTAGTAAGCCGAGGGGTGATGTGAAGCTTGATACCTATGATTCTGAGTCAGGAAACAGAGGTGTAAAGTCTAGTGGCTGGGGTGCTGGTCTACCGACCGCCCGTTCGCTCTCACCCCTAGCTCTGTCTTTCTGCGGTAAGGGAATCCTTCTTGAGCCAAAGCACTTCTCCACCAAAGGGTACCAAATGGGAGGTCCTTCACATCAGGGTCATGACAGCATTGGGTCCCTGAAGTCAGGTTCAGAGGCACTAAAAGGAAGAGTTAAGGTCACCAAAGGTAAAGCATGCTTAACTCAAGGGGGTCCTGAGAGGCTCCCTTGCAGAGAAAGCAGAGTAGAGCTCAGCCAAGACAATTTGGGTTTGAACCTCAATTCTTCCATTTTCTCCTGGTGTGACATTGGGCATGTTACTTAGCTAATTCGATGGTACTAAAGAATTTTTGAAATAAAGACAGTCAAGTACTCAGAAAATGTTACTTTCCTTCTCCACACCTGCAGACCAGCCCATGCCTGGGCCTTTACCCACCTGAAAGCTGCCCAGAATCAAGATCGCCAGTTTCAGCAGGAATCTCGAAATGGAGAAGCCCACTGCCATCACCATTCAGCCACGAAGCCCTCCAGGTTTTGAACACTGCATTACCCAGCGAAAGCAGCAAACACTTGAAACTTTTATGAAGTCAGACTCTAACCACATCTATTAGTCCAATTTCCATCCATTCCAACTGTGTATAAAGCTGTTAGGAAACCTAGCAACAAATTGAGTCTTAGTTTGAGCCACTCTAGACAATACAACAAGAAGTCAATTCAGTACCCATTCAATCCATTTCAACCCATTTTTTCCCATTTAAGCAGAGAAGGATATGGAGACCCAAAGACGGAATGAACCTTGTTCCAACTTACATAACTCACTGAGAGCACTTTACTGTAAGGGAATAAAAGCAAAGCTAAAAACCAGGTACCAGATAAATTCCAACTGCTTTTGAAAAAAATTAATCACAATATGTTAAATTAGCTGAGAGGTAAATATAATTCTGTTCTTTAATTATCTGCTACAGTAGTGATTTTTCTGCATTTGGATGAGTTTAATTCCTGTTTGTCCCCTCAACTATTACGCAAGGCTTCACAAAATTCCTTTTTCCTGATCTCATGTGCTGGGTGGTGGTATAAAGGAAGCAGGAGGATTTTGAGGGAAAGGAATAGTTCATTTTTAGGATTGTTTCAAGAACTAAATACTCTGAAGGAAGCAACTAGCCTGACACAATTATAGGGACCTAGTTAGTGTTAGTCGAGTCTTAGTGGTTAGATTTAATAGTCTTAGCTTTTGAATTTTGAACTAGATATGAAAACATGCAAAAGAAACCTCTGAAGAACACCTACTGAAGAGAGGTGGGCCGGGCAGAGCTTTCTTAAAGGGCTGTGATGAAAAGAGCTGCGTGAACAAGATGCTGTTGGAGCCTGGACCCTCGACAAGACCTGACTTGCATCATTTTTCATGTATGAGAATTCTGACTCTAAGCTCCTAGAAGGCAGGAACTCCATCATACGTATTTCTCCAGATCTCCTGGAGCAGACACGATGGGAAAACAAGTAAGTCCTCATTCCATGACTGTGGAATGACTCATTTAACCAGAGGCCTCAGCTTTCTTACACCAAATCATTGTATTGAGCTCTACCAAAAAGTCTTATAAACAGTTAAGCTAAAAAGCTTTTGGAGGGATGAGGGAAGGATTGGGAGGCAGAATTTGGATGAAATTGAAATGATTATCTTAGTAATCCAAGGAAGGAGGACACTGGTTGTGGTTGAACAGAGGCATTTTGAATGTCTCTTAAGAAAAGAGTAATTTCCAGACCATATCTTTCTTATCTGCATAGTTCTTATACAGCCAAGGGGTGCTTAACAGGGTGACGTCTCTCCTCATGAGACATGTGGCAATGTCTGGAGATATTTTTTGTTGTCACAATTCAGGGGGCGGGGGGCCAGCTGAGGCTACTATTCACCATCTAGTGTGTAGAGTCCAGGTACCCTCACAACCTCCCCCCATGCTCAGGACAGCCCCTGACAACCAAGGGCCTAATCTGGCCCCGAAGGTCAACAGTACTGAGGTTACAAAACACTGTTCTAGCCCGACATGGAGCCTGGAGCTGACTGATTAAGGGAACAGATATGTCAACTGATTTTGACAGGAGGAAAGAAGCATTAACAAATACGCTCACTGGGGTTTAGTTCTCACTGGTGTTTCCCATGTTTATTTGGTATTGTCTTTGAACCCAGTGTGACTCATTATCAAGTATTCGAATGTGTCGGTTGACTTGGTTAACTCTTCCACGCAGAAAGCAATGAGGCCCTGTTGCATGAAGATCACACACACTACCCCCTGGGGCAGTTTAGGGACACAGGTCTGTTTCTGATTTTCCCAGTGTCCACTCCTCTACTCCCAGCAGGAATAGAACCAAACAGGAGAGAAGACAAAGTTCCGATTGTGTGTTAAAGCTGACCTTCGTCCCCCTGCCTGCAGAGATGTTATTCCTTCCTTTTCAAAGCCCTTTCGTGAGGCCAGCAGACAGGTGAGAAAAGGATGACAGGCTATCAAGGAGTTTCACAAGCTAGAGGAACAGACAGTCTCCTTGGTTAGCTTTCAGGTTCCGCTGTTGAGAACCCAGACTACACTTTAAGGTTCAGGATACTGTCTCAGCACAGATTTAACTGAGACACAGGAGAGTAGTATTGGGTAGGCTAAGGGGGAAAAATGTTGTTAGAGGTGGGTATATGAATGCATTATTATCTACTGTGACATTTCCCTGTCTTGGTAAAAAGGGTAATTAATAGGCCAAGAGTCTAGCAGCTGTAGCCTCTGGTCTTGGTTTAGAAATGGGCAGTAGCCTAATGTGGTTTTATTTCAGGGCTGATCCAAGCACCAAGCTTCCTTCGAAAAGAATTTTTCCCCAAACTCTCCAGACCACCTTATGCTATGAAAAGTTAACTAAACTTTTTAAATCTTCTCATCCCGAAAAAAAAATAAAACTTCTTTCCTTTTTTGAGGCCACTAACGAAGAGTTATTTGACCTTGGACAGGGGGACAGAAAACTTTCATTCAGTTTTGCATGGGAAGTTCACGTTTCCTTGTGATCTAAATTCGTAAATCCTAGATGAAAACTCAGCTCGATTATATGGACTCTACATCACATTGTCAACTCGACAGTTCTTCACAGCAAAACTGTGTGTTTGTTCTTTTTATACACTAGCTAATTGATTCAGCCAGACCTTCACTCTTAGACAAGGAATCAATTTCCACAGTCTAGCAACATTGCCCATTTGTAAAGTTGGCAGAAAACTTGCTTTATTGGAAGCTCACGTAATGCCATCCCTGGTTGCAGCACTGTAATACAACTCCAAAGTATGTCAGTATTAAAATACTGAACTCAAGAGGCCACCTACTTTTAATTTGAATTCTCCCTGGCCCAATATTTTTAGGCTATTAAAAAAAACATTGAGCAAGCATAACTATATTAAAAAGGATAAACAACAAAAGAAGAAATCAGGCTTGGCAAAGATGTAAACTTGAGATGCACTGCGGGGATGAAAAATCAAGGACATCTTTACGAAAGACCTGGTCTTCCTTCAGCAGTTAGACAGTGTGTGATTCCTCACCACCCCTTCTATCAAGGGTCGTTCTAACCAAACGCATTTGAGTGATTTACGCTAGTTAATTACAAGAAGTGTAATAAGATGTGAGTAGTGGCAAGACATTTATTCTATACCAAAGTGAACAGGGCTACAAAGCTTTGATGTTAAGAGGGATAAAGGAGAGGCTTGCATTATATTAGTACCTCCTTACTGCATTCTGCTCTACGGATGTCTGTTTCCTGGAGCTCAGTCTTCCCGGGGCTTCCTTAGTACCTCTTTCTCCTGCTTTTCCTCCTCCCACTCCTGTGGAGTCCTTTCTTTTCTAGAACACCTTCTCCACAGACTCTCCCTCCCTAGGAGATCTCTGCTATCATGCCTTTAATACCATCACAGGCTGAGAAGTTGTAAAAGTCTACCACTAGCCTAGACCTCAAGGCTGAGCAGTTTAAAGGCAGGTCCGCATAGTGTCTGACACAGAGAAAAGTTGTCCAGTAAGTGTTAAATGAATGAAATATAAAAATGGTTTCATGGGACTTCAGTGGCAGACACGTGGAGGAAAGCGGAGTTGCCCTAGACAGCCCCGTCCCAGAACCCGGCTCACCATCTGACCACAAATGTATGCGTGAGCCCCGGCAAGATCAGCAGAACCCACAGGCTACCTACAGCTGACCCAGCCAATCTATAGAGTACGGGAAGGAATAAAATTGTTCCCATTTTAAGGCGTGATGTTTTAAAGTAACTTAAAACAAGAGCTAACTGACCGTTCAAAGTCTGCCTTTCGTGCCCGCCTTCCCTCCTTGAGGGCAGAGACAGTACTTCTTGCCGATGCTGTGACTAAACCCAGCACCATCCCCGGTTTGCACAAGAGGATAAATCCCTATTGACAAATACATCAAATTCTGTTCATGGTGGCTGGAAGCACTGTCACTCATTTGCTGCCTAGAATGATGGCAAATGGCAGGTGGAACTCAGAAAGCCACAATTTGTTACTGGAATAAGTTAGTTGGAGTGATAAATATTGATGATTTGTTGTTGAGAGACACTGTGCTAGGCATGTAGTCTCTATTTAGTAGGGATGAAATAAAGGATGTATGTTAAATAGAGTCTTAATTGAGAAGGGAGACAGTTTACGGCTCCCCCAAAAAATGCTGCACTAGAATAAAAGGCTCCCAAACTATTCTGATTTGCTTTGGGGAATTTTTTTCCTCCCTCAGTAAATATACTGGGTATATTTAACCAATTATCCACTAAGTGAACAGCTAACCATGCATGCCAATTAGAAATTTTCTGAATCAGTTCATGAATCTTCTAATATGGATCTAAAATGCTACCTTCTCAGAGGAACATCAGGGGATTATGGATGGAAAATGGCTGAGGAAGAAACAAAAGAGAAAAGTTACTGGCTGGCAGCGTCCTTAACTCCCGGTTTTTGAAATGCCCTTGGTTCCTTCCCTGTTGCATGAAAGGAAGCAGATTTTGCTCGCAGCCTGAGGCAGCCTGCTGGACAACTGTGCTCCCTGTATGAATGGCCGGCTTGGGCCCACATTATCCCACGGAAG